AACTGTCTCACTCTCTCTTGCAAACTCTTACACTTGTCTTCTAAATCTGTATTCTTCTCCCTCTCTTCTTTTATAACAATTTTACATTCTTCTGCATATTTCAATAATGTTGCATGTTCACATTTCAATCGTTCATTTTCACTGGCAAATAATTTATTATATTCTAATATTGTTTTCAGTTTGTCCTTAAGTTTTGCTATATGTGCGTCCTTTTCTGATATCTGAAAATTATAACACATCATCATCAGCTCACTATACGTACCCTAAGTCAGTGGTTCCCAAACTTATTTTGTCAACTGCCCACTTTGAGAATAAATATTTTTTTAGCGCCCCCATATTTTCAAATATTTAAAAACCACTATAACTTCAAATTAAATTAATTAATTATTGTGACATATGTATATTAACGGAGAATTCTAAACGAAACTTTTACTATAACCCGCAACTTAAAACCTGCAGCGCCCACAAGGGGGCGTTATCGCCTACTTTGGGAAAGACTGGTCTAGGTCATAGTTAATACTGGTCCAGTACGGGTTGACTTCACACATATCTTTTGAATCTCTTTTCAGATATGTGCAGCATCACGATGTTTTCCTGATATTAATTATTATAAATACTGTTAATTATGTCATTCATAAATGTAAATGTTTGGATGTATTGATGGATGTTTGTTGGAAGGTATCTCGAACCACTAAATAGATAGAGCCGGGCCGATTCGTGCGAAGATGTTAAAGCGGGCTCTACCACTGTTAATTGTAAGTTGGTGCTTTTCACAGGCTAATGTTAAAAATGCTTTTCCATAGTATGACCTATATGGTACAGTAAAAAAAATCTAATTTCTTCCAATGTGATAAAAACTGTGTTATATATTAAACTTACCGATAGAATATTTTCTTCACATCTGTCCATAAGTGCGGTAATAAGCCTTTCATATTTCTTACTTAGTTTCTTCTTCTGTTCTTTAAGTAAATGTTTTCCTTCTTTATTAGTATTAGGCACCCCTCCATTTATGTTTCGTTTCCGTGGTGGTTTGACTGGTCTCTCTGTTAAGGATATATTATTATTACTAGTGGAATTAAAAAGAAACTTAATAAGTAGCCTATGTGTTATTCCAGACAGTGTTCTACATTTATGTCAAATTAAAGAGACATCCATGCAGCCGTTGTGAAGATATCTTCAAACAAACATCCATTCATCAAAACATTCACATTTATAATATTAGTAAGGTTAACACTAATTGAGTAAGAAAATGGACCTAAGTTGGCAAGTCCTGTAGAAGAGTACACCTATTCCCGATGTGCCAAAATAAATGCTAGAGATGGTCAAAAAGTTAAGTGACTACATCTTAGAACAAATATGTAATTGGGAATGATAAGAAAAAAGATTTAAAAAATCGCTTTTGATAATTATATGATAAAAATATGGCCTTAAGAGGATATGATCACAATTGGTAACCAGATCTATGGCCTAGTTACCCATAACTTAGGGTAGGTTCCAAGTTCCTCAATGGGGATGTATAGTGAGGTGATGATGACCAGATCTATGCACATGAATCTATAATCTCTGCCTATGTGATAATATTAAAAAAGTGTCCAAAACAAATTATACTAACCAATCACATCTCTTGGATCTTCATATAAAGGATTATCGATTGATTCATCAATATCTTTTTCATGCATCTTAGATTCCGTCCTCTTCATCACAGCATTCAATATATCAAGACGTAAGCTGTTCCGTTTGTCTGCTTCTGTTATATAGAAATGTCGCTGACATGGTGTAAAGTTACCCGTGAATGTTAATTTCTTTGGACTTTTAACTAAGTGTCTCCTATTTACATTACTGTAGGTTTTCACCTGAAAATATACATATAAATAATAAGTAGATAGTAAATAGTAAGATATACCCAAGATACTTATTTATCATCACTTCATGTACAACATAATATTGTGTCATTATTTTACATAAAATCCTGTAGAATAAATAACCCTCTCATTATTTGGCAAATATGATAACAATACATATTTGGACACATCATTCTATCACACAAGATGTGGCAAAACATTTTATTATCATGTAGGTTTTTAATGAATCATAAAAACTACATTTGAATACAAAATGTTAAGTTCACTAAAATTTTCCGTGTGTTTCTCAATATACCTACCTATTGCAACATAAAATGTTTTTTTTAAATTACTTACTTTTGGAGAAAACTTTATATAATCATCATCCATTGTCAACTGCTAGTTAGTTTTTGTGCTAGAATCTTAAAATTAGTAGCCATTTCGTTGTATATAATAAAAATGTGCAATAGTTCACCTTTAACTCCTCTCGGTCTCTAAATAAAATAGTACTAAACGGAAACAAAACGTAGTTTATTCTAGTATGAAACAGAGGTACAAGGAAGAATTAGGTCAAATAACAGTTCAATAAATGCAAATCAGATTTGTATTATCGATAAAACTTCGCAACAGAAATACAACTTTTATATAACTACTATGTAACACAATAAGCGATGTACTGGGACTGTATTAAGCTTATTTCAATTTGCAAACGGATTTAAATCAACTTAATTTTATTTAGATGCTGTTGTTACATTTCTTTGCACGTTGAAAATAATATTGTTTTTGACATGGTTGCTATGGAAACCATACAACTAAAGAAAACATTTGGGTTACCATTCCCAATGATTATTATGGAATAGAAAAAAATACTAAGGCATGTTCATGAAGTTCCGAAATTTTACTTTATTCTGTTTTTTCTGTGAATAATAGTAATTTTAATAAAGACAAGTAAATACAAATTAATAAAATGAAGAAGACAAAATGTAAATAATGCATTCTGGGTTATGACAACTTTTACAAACAAGTAAACAATGGTTCAATTCCCCGCCGTCGTGTTGTAAACCCCTACGAGATGGCAGTATTTAGAAGAAAGCGTTAATGTACGGCGAAATAAAAATGTTGCCGGTTCACGTGGCTTTATTGATTTTTGAAGACATTCCAAGTTAGTCGCATAATGAGAAACAAGAGCGTGCGCGGAAACAGCTGAGCGAAACCAGCGACAGTGTGGCGTAATCGTAAACTAGAAGGCAGTCGCATCATGTCTACCTGCCGGTTCGGTGTATAATGCGCGGTGGATTTGATAACCTAAAACACAGTTGTCACTCCGTCCTTTCGAATTTGGAACCTTTTTAGTTAATAATCCCATTTAATTAAGTTTACCGATAGTGTTATTTAGTGGTCTAATAGCGATTACAAATTCAAGGTACGCGTTATCGTACCTTTAGTGAGTTTTGTACGTTTATCGATTTTTTTTATTTTACAATGAGCGTTACGTTTTGTTTACTTTTTATTTTTATGTGAGCCTATAGTAAATAATATGGTGTGCATAATTCGACGCTAGTGTTGTGCCGTGTTTCGATTCAATTATGTGCGAGAGTTCGCGCAAGACTGCTTGTTTTGGATGACAAAAACATGGAATTCGAGAACGATTTCAGCTTGAAAGAATGGGCGAAGGACAAGCCTTTGTCCATTCTGCAACTGGATCCGGCAGACCGTGCCGTTTTGAGAATAGCAGGTTAGTTGTGAACCTTGTTGTATTGTACCGCATAATTTTTTTATGTAACATCGCACATTCTTAGCATTTTAACACCTATAATCAGGGCACCTTATCTAGTTTGATAGTGGCGATAGTTAAGATTAATAACATAATAAACATATTAACTAAAACTATTATTGCGAAATACCTATTCTGATCTTTTATTTAGCGAATAACTGAGAATATTAATTAAAATAACCTTGGTTTTCACTTTTGTTCGATTGATAATGATTGTCGGTACGAAATAGGCTATTTACGCTATAGTACAGTCGTATTTTTTTTAATTGCGTCGCCGTACCATGGCTGAGTGAGCCGGTTTTCGTCCATGTAAGAACCACCCCTTTTATATACCACGTTCATACTTCCCACGATTCGGTTGCGTATATGCGTTTATCTATTTTTATTATGTTATAATAATAATCGCATATGAACTATGATGCATAATACAACATCCTGTAAACATCAACTAACCAGCATAGTTATTTTAACATTATAAAGTGGTATCGTCATAAACAATTGTTTTTTCCTAGTTATGTTTAGTTAAATCGATTTACATACATATAGAATACAAATTGTACTATAATAATTACTAGTAAATTTGTAGGGTTTATATGTAGGTATAGGATAAAAACCCACGGGAATGGGTAAAACCAGAAAAACCTCCATGCATGGTTTTATTATTACTCGCTATTTGGATTATTGCGTGAAAGGTAGGTAACCCCACCTTCTGTGATGATATTGGTGCATTCAGAGTGGGGTCCCGCTCTGATCAGCCTTAAAAAGGTGGGTAAATCTAAGGAGATACTGGCTCGAAGGAACTAGCCTAGCGATTGAGGGGTGACAGGTGTGTTCCGAACGGAGCTCCCGCCTTCTCTTTATAATGGCGTTGGGGACCACCGTGGGGTTTTAGTCGGTGTAAATCCGACATATTCATACTTTCCGCCCTTATGGGGCTGGCAGGAGTTGGATATGCAGAGTCATTACCCCACGTTAAAAAAAGAAGAAAGAATCTTACTAATATTATAAATGCGAATGTTTGCATGGATGTATGTTAAAATTTAGCATAGATGTAGAACATGGTCTGGAAGAACAAATAATTAAGTTATTTTTCATTCCGCGTGGACGGAGATGCGGGCGATAGCTAGTTTAGTAATAAATACATCGATTTGAAAGACGGAACACGATAGAATTGGAATATGATAGGCATGAAACGAAGATGACATTTAGTATGACAGACACTCAATCATAGATTAAAAATTATGTATCTATATAACTTATCTTATGAAACATAAAACATGAATCGTGTTCACGATAAATTGCTTGTTCGTGGTAAATTTGTAAATATTGTGGTGGGTTTTCGCGCACGCTATCCGTGATAATTCGACTTAGCCGGTATAATACCACGCTAATATATCCAAACTTATGTATACTTTTGTATAATTTATATAATAGACAGCACGATCGATTGTTTTGTCTATTCCATTAAAAAGGTAAAAGTGGGCTCTTGAGCTCTTTATTGTTTAAAGAATAATTGAAAGAAGGATTAGAAAACAGACAACCAAATATTTAGGTATGTTTTAAAATATAATCGTTTTTATTTTCACACATAAGAAAGGGTTATAGGATAGTTTCAGATACATTCATGTCCCTTTGGCAGTTTCTGACAAAAGAAGTCTATTAACCCCGCCCAGTTTGTCACAGTCTATAAAAACAAAGTTGTCCCATCCGTGATAATTCATTGATAACTTTCACTGTTACCTTCGTGTTATAATTAGAATGGAGACAATCGACAAGGTCGAGTGATCACTCGATCGTTCATTGCAATTATTTACGCAAACAAGTCGGCTAGACTAACTGTTTTGTTTGCTACACTGTGTGTTTAGTATTTTTTTTATATTATAAGGTGGTGGAAGAGCAAGTGGCCAATTCTTCTCCTTCTAATGCCTCTCTATTACTGGAGGTTTGTCGTCAGCTCAGCGAACCCTTTCCTGTCCTATGCCAAGCGAAAAAGTTGTTCAACGCTGGCATTATTGGTCCATTCCCGGATGTTTCTCAGCCACGACTTTCTCCTCCTTGGCCAATTAAATTACCTTTATCTACAGAGGAGGGGCACACACGCACAGAGGGAGGACATTTCTCTTTCCAATTCGTCCCCATCTACATGTTTCAATTCGTCAACAAATCTTACTTCTTAGTAATATCATAAATGCGAAAATGTGAATGTATAGATGGATCGATGTCTATTAGAAGGTGTCTCCAGACCGGCTACACTGCGGGGTTAGACAAAGTGTATTCGCTTCGAAGTGATTCCATAGTGAACTTCAACAATGTATGGAACTGAGGCGCGACAATCACGCGACTTATCGGAAGTTATTGTCAGTTCCATCTTGATGAAATTAGGAATAGATGTAGAACATAATCTGGAAGAACACATAGACTACTAATTAAGTTTAATTCCGCTCGTATGGCGTCGCGGGCGAAAGCTATTAACTTCATAAAGGTGTTTCGGGTGCAAAGGGCGACGCATCAATGTCACACCAATGTCGCACCTGTCTGTGACGTCTTAGGTCAAATGCGCAGCTGTTATAACATTCCCCTTTTGTTTTAGTCATATTAGGAAGCAAAACGCATTTAAAATACAAGTGTATAATAAATATTTTGGATATTAAAAATTGGTGTATTTTTATTATTTCAGATTGTTAAAGCAGTTTACTTGATGTTAAGTGTATTTAAAAACTAGCTGTTGGCCGCGGAAATTAAAAAAAAACAAGTAGCCTATGTGTTATTCCAGGATATGTTCTATATGTATGCCAAATATCAGCGAGATCCGTTGAGCCGTTCTGGAGATACCTTCTAATAAACATCCATCTAAACTTTCACATTTATAATATTAGTAAGATATAAATACGAGTCAGATCCTTTAGTATTGTGGATGTCCATCATCACCTCGGTCTTCCCTCCACTCGTTTGCCCCCTTCTCTTATATAAAAAAGGTGACTACAGACTAAATAAAACTAAAATAGCTTTATTAAAGATATTTTGCGCTTCTGTGAATCTCGTATATAATACAGAGATAAAGCAATTACTATATAAACAACGTGCTAACAAGAGTTGTATGAATTTGCAAGTTTATATAGCCTGAATAATTTGATAACACCGATGACGTCATCGCCTCGTTACTGCAATACGATTTACCGTGACTTTCTGACACCAAAATTTCCGTATATAACATATCTTTACCCCTTCTCTTTCATCCCTGACAATTTCACCACTTATGTTTAAAACTTCCTGCCTCGCACAGCAGCGTTGTGGATTCGTCTGTCCTCGGCGGTATTTCCAAAGCGCTACGACTTAGGGTCCTTCAAGAAGCGAGCTTATCACTATCTCCAATGCCGGTAACGCATCTGCGGTTCCTTCTGTATTGCTGATGTCCATGGGCGTCGTTGAACACCTCGGTGTTCCCGCTGCTCGTTTGCCCCCTTCTGTTATAAAAAAAACAGGATTAGTAGTAAAGCGTCTTGTCTGTAGTTTGGTTACGGGAAAAAAATCATTTTGGCCTATACGCTCCGGGAATAAAGACGAACGACACTATATTGTCAGGCCTGTTTTAGACTTTAGATGGAACTTACTTATATATACATAAAAACTTACATACATTATGAATTGTATAAAAAAAACGTTGCCCTCTTGGCAGTCGGGTAAAAAGACTATGCAAAGTTCACGGTTACGATTTTATAACTAACATTATCTGAACTCCCCTTTATTACAGTAAGGGTCCGTTCACACAGACCAGAGAGCAGAAATGATTTACGCTTTCTCCTGGTAAATAGACTTGATAAGTGAAATTAAACCTTGTTTCAAATAAAGTTAAATTTATTTCCGATAACTTTGGTTTTTCGTTTCTGTTAGTGTGTACAGACCCTAAGTCGGAATATATCTTGGCGATCATTCGTTGTGTATATAACCGTTATGTAATATATAATATTGATTACATATATAGTGAATT